AATGATCATGAAGCACTGTGGAATGGTGATAATAATAGCATGTTTTTGAGATAATTCTCTACCCTGCTTACCTCAACTCCTATTTTGATAAAGATAAAAATGAGGTGAATTATTACCTACCTTTTTCTTGGCTTGCTCTATTCTAAATGTATTGCCTTCTAAGATTACATCAGAAAGAAACACATTCATTAGGTGAATGTTCAGGCTTCTCCCTGAATATAAATCTGGCAATATTTTAAAGTATGTAATCCAAGCAAATGATTGCTTTAAACTCTAATTATTATCATTTTAAACAATGAGCTCAATTTTTAGGAAATATTTAGAATCAGGCACTCATTTTTAATTAATGCACACACACACACACACACACGCAGCCTGTTTAACTAAAAACATGAAACTAACCAAAAATGCTGAAGTGCGTGACTGCAAATAAGAACGTACTAAAGAGAGTAGATACACAGAACATTCATGAGGATTTGTGTAGCTTGCTGAAATTCTTCCTGNATATTAGAAAGACCAATATACAGTTAATGTGAATATATCAAGTGAAGTGAATATTTTTTTTTTCCTTTTTGTCTTTTTTCGTGACTGGTAACAGGATCGCAACCCTTGGTGTCGCTCCCGTACCGCGACTGGTAATGGGATCGCAACCCTCGGTGTCGCGCCCGCACCGCGCTCAACCAGTGAGCGGACCGGTCTCTATATGGGATCCGAACCCTCAGCGGGACCACCGCCGCACTACCAAGCGCCGCACTCTACTGAGTGCTCCACCAGGCCGGCCCGAAGTGAATATTTTTTATAATGGTAAAATGAGACTTTCTATTATTTGGAAACAACCCATGAACATAGTGTACTATGGCAATCTCAGGCCCCTCACTGGACTGGAATATCAAAACAAAATTTACCCAGAGTGGTCTGTAGTTCCTCTCGGCTAGGACTTGGTGAAATCATAGGTACAAGAGGAATGCCTCGTGTCTCTAAAGGAGCTGCAAAAGAAAATACCGACATAGTAAATTTGTAGATTCAAAGCCAGCACCAGACCAGACTGGTATACACGAGATTTCTTCACTTGAAATAGTAAAAGAAAAACATCAAGTCATGATGAAGAAAGTTGAGTGCACAGAATGTTCAGGAAAATGACGGTAGAATATTAGAATAATGGTTCTCAACTGTTTTTCTGCCAGAACACGTAATAAATGACATTCGATGCTTGACCACTTCATGAGAATAGCTGGTTAAAATGGGTACAATGTGGGCACAGTCTTGGTCTCTCGGCTGTAGCCCTGTCCCCCTCTCTACAACCGAAGAGAGCACATAGAATTACAAAATGAATGAGGATATCAGCATTGTTGGGATAATCTTCTTGAGTCTGTTCAAGTTTAGCTTTACAAATAAATCACTGGCAGTTTTTAGTATTTTGAGCATATACTTTGACAAATATTTATATTTTAGAAGAAATAAATCACTGGCAGTTTTTAGTATTTTTACTAAGTTGACCAATGTTAGTAATAATTACTTGCATCAACTTTTAAACTTGCCACACGCTAGTGTGTTGTACCATTACAGTTGAGAACCACTAACCCAGCAGAAATTGTTAACTAGAGGAGCCCTAGTGAGGTGAATTCATTTTGAACATGGAGATAAATGAGGTGGATGAGGATGGACTCAGTAACAAGCTGTCCTGCGTGGTCTTCAGAGAGAAAAGCCTTTCCAACAGTGAAACTGTTGCTTTTCTATTTTGGAAAGAGTAATAATAATGTTAATAAAATGATGAAGTGGATTGGGAAGAGATGATGTGTCAACATGACCACTGGAGAAAGACCTGCAATCTTGATGGTGGCAAAGAAAACAATTAGACTTGGTCAATATGGGAAAACCATTACCTACTGTTGTCTTTGGTGGATCAATTCTAAAGGTAACAGGTTGCAGAACTATGCCAAAAGCAAACCAGAGAAAGATATTTATGAAAATTACTACTTGGTGAAGTCAAAATACTTTCCGTATTTTCTAGACGCATCTATTTAATCATTTAAACATACTCTAAGAACTGTAATAAGTATGAGAAAATTCTACACATTAGATGCCACTCAGGAAACTTAAACTAAATCTTTGAAGTTCTTGTCACTTTGAGGAAAATTTTTGAGTATACACTCACCATTTTTACTTAAAAGTATACACACAGTTGTAGATACATTTACATTTTGAATGGATGTAAAACAGTTGGCTCAGATGACAATTATGTTTTATAATTTTGGCATAATCTCATATTCAACACAAACACTTCCAGGGAAAATAAACTAATTATATACTATTTCTTCATTTAACCAGGGGAAAAATTTCAACCAGATTGTATGATTAAGCTTTCCCAAAAGAAATATACATTTTATATCTATAATTTTCTCTGAACTTCTTCCTTATCACAAACATTAAGAATATATTTACCTCAAAATATTTTTTGAAAAATATACTTCCTAACTGGGAAAATAAAATAATTCATTTACCAGGTTCACTCTGAGAGAGCTGAGGGTCTGGTTTATGTGGAAGGAACACATCTTCTGGAGCTGAAAGAAAAAAAAGGATAAAACACTGTGTACTCTAAACATCACACCTGGAATGAAATTAACACATAGAGATAGAATCCTGGAAAGCACGAATGAAGCCAAGGTATTTTCACGACGGTTAAAGACCAAAGCTGAGACGATGACTGTTCTTTTAAAAAACAACTAAAAGAAGTCACTGTGTGGAGAAGGTTCTGGTGGCAGTAAAACAGTAACAAAGTTGGTCACAGTTCATTTTGAAGACTGCCTTGGCAGGCGGGGGGGTGGATAGCTGATGTAATAAAACACAAGAAGGTGGGTATCCCTCACATTGTTTCCAAAACAGAAAAACAGTTTTTGCCTACCGTGGTTAGTCACCATTTGATTTTCATACTAAAAGTCCACTGATAGCAATAGAAAATACATTAACTTAGATAAAGTGAATAAATGGCCAACAAATTGAGGAAAACAGCAAAACAGGCAACAAATCTTGAGTATCTAACAAGAGGACAAAGTTTCATTCTAAATGGCACTAACAGTTATTGTGGGAAAAAAAAGCAAAAGGAATCGGCCAGTCATTGGAAGATTCGTATGTCAAGTTTGTGGGCAAAGGCTAGATACATGCGAGCTGTTGCCATCTGTCTTCTGTAGTGATGTGGCTTCCAGTACATTAGGTGTCAGGGATGCTTGACATATGAGAATATGAAAACAAAAGACAAAAATCCTAGTTAAACAATAGACCTATTCGTATTCAGTCCCTGATATCCAGTGTATCTTTAATGCTTGTGCTCTTTTTTAGCAAAATAAAACTGTAGATTGAAAACCTGATACCTTATTTCCCTCTCAGTGGGGAAAATATCAGGGCGATTTGCCCATTGCTAGTACCGGATTGCTATGAGAAAAATCTCATTCCAGGAGCAGTGTAAAGTACTACTTTGACTCAGTCTCCCCACAAGAAGCCTCTCCTCAGGCCTACTCTCTCACTGAAAGAAAGGTTTTCCTACAAAACTGAAAATTTCATAAATACTCATGTCCTATTGGTAGGCAGTGTAATTTTCTTGCATCTTATATGAAGATGGGAAAAACAATCAGGATTCAGGCCAAAACTCTACTTCAGAAGAAAGATAAAGAAAACTTTCATAGTATGAGGTAGCCAAGCAGCACTTTACCATTAGTGAAGAAATAGCTTATGCAAAATGGACATTCTCTTATTATTTTGGAGGATCATATTTAACTTACATGCCACATCTTTTTTGGTCTACGTCACTAAACAACAGCCAAATTATAGCTGTGGAATTTAGCACTTTGAATAGTAACTTGACTCAGAACTTCTATTAGGTAAAAAGGTAATATCCAGAGGAGTTTAAAAATCCTGATTTTTTTTTAAAGGAAAAAGGAAACTTTAGAAAGATTGATGGTTGACAAAGTCAGAGAAAGCTCAACATAACAGTGATCATTTCACCTTTTCCACATAGTATTTTTGGTGATTTAAATGGCAAAATACGAAGAATTTTCAGTTACAAATCAAACTAAATGTTCATCTGCAGGTTGAAGAAGAAGGCACTTTAATTTGGCTCTGCGAAGGTCATGAATATTCAAAGCAGCCTGCAGTTTATAAGTATCCTAATTAATTACAGTACTAGACTATACAAAAAAAGAGCTGGGATTAAGGAAAAGAGAAGCTGGGATGAGATGAGCTGCTAATAAATCCACCACACCATGAATACATTATTTGCTGCTGCTCTAGTTTACTGAGGAATTTAGGTGAGGGTAATGTGGATTCCAGCTGCTGCGACCGGCACTTTTCTTTATAACCACGAAGTGATGATTTAATAAGCTGCCATAGCAGACTTTTTAAGTCAGGTGAAATCAGTGGAAAGGAAAGAAATGGGAATATTTACAGGAAAGGGAGATGAATCATTCTCCTACTCGGTCAACCACAGCTCCAAGAAATGCAAGTTACCTTTTCCTCTCTTTTTTCCTATGTGGCATTTCTCTGTATAATAAATTGAACAAGAACATGATCTTTAAAACCTGCATCTTTCATGATGAGGGAAACTCATGATAATAATGAGCTAAATAAATGTAAATAATGTAATAAATGTAAATAAGTAAATAATGATAACAATTTATTTCAGAAGGAAGTTTGATTTTCTTATAGGAATATCTACCATTATATTTTAGACTCAATTATATGAGCGTACTTCAAAAAGTTCACAGAAAGATTCATGTTATCTTTTAATTCTATTTTTCCATGAACTTTTTGAAGTGCTTGAGTATTAAACAACTTATCATTTTTATTAACTGACCAATCGATTATATTAACTGTCTTTTCTTTGTTAAGAACATTTAAGATTTACTCCCTTAGAGACAGTGAAATGTACAGTACTCAGTTTTAGCTATATTCACCATGCTGTGTAATAGATCTCAAAAAAAAAAAAAAAAAACTAACTTATTCCTCCTATCTGAGGTTTTGTACCCTTTGACTATCATTTCCTTATTCTCTTCACCGACCCCCCGACCCCCCAGCCTCTGGTCACCACCATTCTACCTTTCTGCTTCTATGAGAGTTCAATTGGTTTAGATTCCACATATAAGTGAGACTATGCAGTATTTTTCTGTTTGGCGAATTTCACTTAGCATAATGTTCTCCAATTCCATCCATGTTGTCACAAATGACAATTTCTTTCTCTTTGTTTTAAGGCTGAATAGTATTCTATTGTGCATATATACCATATTTTCTTCATCTAATATTAACTGTCTTTTTAAGTAAAGTGTAACACCCCGAAGAAAAATTCAACTAAAAAAGACAGTTATGAGTGGGCAATGTCTAACATGGGTAAATGAGGTGAATTCAACGTGCATGAACATTTTACTAGAGTTGGATGAGAGAATTAACATGCTGCTCTCTGATAAAGAGAGTGGAATACGAAGTCTGCAGTAAAGTTTACCCTGGTAATAGGCTCAAAGACACCGATTCTCTTAGAAGAGTAGTACATGTAGACTGTGTCCCCCTTTCACCTCAAGATTCTCTATTCCTTTCTTCTAACTTTGTACCTTTTGGTCCAGTCTGGGCAGAACCCTAGTCTCCTGCTTTGTTGGAGGCCACTTTCCTGGGCTTTACCTGTGCTCTTGGGCTACCCTCCCTCTCATCTCCTCTGAGGCCCTTTGCTTTCCATTATTTCTATTATCTTATATTTTCTCCATTAGTCCATATTTCTATTTCTCTCTGAGTTCCTTCCCCTCCACCTGTAAAATAGCTCAAATGCTCCAACATCCTGAAACAAAACAAAACAAGACAAAAAAATTCCCTTGACATGGCTTCTTAATATTCTAAAATCTGAAAATTGCTGAATTCTGAAGCATATGGACAAGGGCTGCAGATAATGGGATCCTGGACCTGCACTGCCAGGTCAGAGGCCTCTTTGGACCCCTCTCCACCTCACTGCCATTGTTGGCTACCCTGCCCTTGAGACCCTTTCCTGCCTCACCTCCCAACTCCTTCTTTCCTGGTTCTGTCTTCTCCTTTTTTGCTAACAACATTTGGAGGCTCCTTTTCCTCTGCCCACTCCTTAAATATAACTGAGCCATCCAAATACTTGATATCTGACCTCTTATTTTCTCAGTGTATACTTTCTCCTGGATGATGTCATCCAAGATTTAAAAACCATCTGTATGCAGACAGGTGACTCCCAAATCTATGTTCCAAATCCTGACTTCTGTTTAGAAATCCAGAAAACATTTTAAACCACCAGTTAGATATTTCCACCTTAAAGTCCTATCAGCCTTACACACCTAGCATGTACAAGCCCAAGTCTTTATTCCTCCCATGGTGTTCCCTATCTTAGTTAATGGCATTATTATCTACCACTTGCCCAAGCTAGAAATGACAGTGTCCTCCTTCCCTCCATAATGCCACTCAGTTATTCTCTAGGTTTTAGCAATCCCATCTCCAAAAGGCATTTCAGCATTATTCCCTTATTTCCCTTCCTACTGCTATTAGTTCAAATTGCCATCCTCACCCTTCTAGGTTATGGCAAAACCTCCCAAGTGATTCCTTGCCACCAATCTCTTTTTGCATTAATACTTCACGTTTTTATCACAACTATCTTCCTAAAATGCAGATCTAATTATATGACTCCCATGATTACAAAAAGAAACACACATACACAATTTTAATGTTTCCTAATTCCCTGTAGAAAAAATCTCAGAGTCCTTAGCACGACATTAAAAGCCCTCAACCGTGTGAGTCCAATTGATTTAAGTCTTCATCTCCCAATAATTTCACCCATATGGCTGTCAATGTGATCATTCTGAACTCATGCTGCTTCTCAGCTATGCTGAGCACTTCTTA